ACATCATCTATGAGGCGTCATCGTTAGTACAGAGTTATAACTTATCAAAATGACGAGTTGAAGCAATCTCCTGGAGTGTGATTGAGAAAACAAGATGCAGCAAAAAATAGGATTGAAGAATGATGCCACAACGGCTGAACAATAAATTGGTCAAGGTGGTTGCCTTCATTTGTCACTTTGATAAATTGAAACTGTGCGCTAACAATGGCCCCTCCCACTGACGCTGTAGACTGAGATGCTGTCGAAACGTTTGGGAATATACGAAATCAATGATCCGAAGCTGATAATCACGAATACTACGGCAGATAACACAGGACTATGTACGTTCCACAAGGTCAAACCAAAACTGGTCAATTAATGTTGGAGTACCTTTCGTTTCGTTTGAAGAGGTGAGTGCAAAGGATGCGTAAGTTGGTTCCACCGGAGTCTGTAGGGGGGTTGGATTGGAGCTATGGTTGTAGATTTGTGCGAATATGTCCTCGGCACACCGCCCTGCGATCCCGATGAATCCTTCCCGAGCTTTCGTTCGTCAAGTGACAGACATCGTCAGAGCAGACCACCATGCTTAACGATAATTCGACACATGTTTCATGTTTTGGTTAGTTGTCCTATGCCTTCCCTATATGTTTGCTCATAAGTTAAGTTAAGTTGTTGCAGATGAAGCGTCAAACGGGTGTAATTGAAACCGAACAGCTGCATCCTTTCCTTATGACTGATCTTGCAATGTTACCGCATGTAATTACATTCCATTACACTTGGTTTCAATTGCACACGTTTCACGCTTCATCTTCAGTCACTTCACATGTCATCGATAGCCACTTAACTTTTGAGCAAACGTTTAGGCAGAGCATAGGATATCCAACCAAAACATGGGATGTCTAAGTGGACCAAATTGGACTATAAGAAGTAGGTAAGTTTAAAGCCGGTCACTTTTCTTGCCCTCCTGTTCTTGGTGAATTATCGTTAAGCATGATGTCCGTCACATGACGGACGAACACTTCAAGAATTGATCGGAGTCGCATGGCGGTGCGCCGAGGACCTATCAGTACAAATCTACAACCGCAGCTCCAAGGCAACCCCTCCCCCCACAGCCTCCGGTGAAATCAACTTACGAATCACTTCGACTCGCCTCTTTAAACCAAATGAAAGGTACTCCAACATCAATCTATTAAGGGAATCTTCGAAACCCAGTTTTTCTACATACTTGTAAATAAGTTAGGAGGACTTTTAAGATAGCAAACGCTCAAGAACTTATGATGGCATTACACGAATTGGGTTTTATAACTCGGAATGATGTTAACTAAAATTATACTTTCAAAAGGAGAAGTTATAATGAGACAAAAGTTAGTAAACTTTTCCAAATCGACATTAGACGATTCATCCTATCATGCCTTCACTATTACAATTTTTACCGTGTTTATTTAGATAGTGTGGTGTGCTCCTTTGAGCGACAGGACATCTTTACACTGCAACTTTCTCACCCCCCCTTCATTCTTCTACAGGGAATATTGATCAGAGTCTGCTTTATTATTATGCAGTCCTCTTTCCTAGTCTTATCCCAATCTCTCTTGCTCCAGTTCTAGCTTCCACTGTTTATATCCTCTTTCTATCAATAATACCAAGCCTATTACATCCTATGCCCTAGTCTCTTGTGTGCCAACCCACAAATGTTGTGGTTCAACATTTAACCAAATCAAAACAAGCTGTGCCACAACATCTGTGGGTTGACACACAAGAGACTAGGACATGGCAGATCATAGACTTGGTATTAGGGATAGAAACAGGATAGACGGCGGAGACCGGAGCTAGTTGGCTGACGGTAGGTCTGTTTTACCAGATACATGGTACATGTAGCAAAGGGGTGACCATAACACTCAGAAGCTTGCGCATTGAAGTAGTCACCCAGACAGGTGGGCGGGGGCGAATAACGCCTCGAGTATGACAGATGTGGTGACAGGAGTCGAGTGAAATAGGTGAACAACAGGTAGAACAGACGGATTTTACGGAGCAAGAGAGACTGGGATAAGACAAGGAAAGAGGACTGCATAATAATAAAGCAGACTCTGATAAACATTCCCTGTAGAAGGATGAAGGGGGGGGGCGAGAGCGACAGTTGGAGTATGAAGGTGCCATGTCGCTCAAAAGAGCACACCACACTATCTAAATAAACACGGTAAAAATTGTAATAGTCAAGGCATGATAGGATGCTATCGGAAACGCGAATAACCCAGGGCAGAAGAGAAGATAACACAATTGTTTAGCACACATTTGGTCAAAGGATCGGCTTCACTTGGCTCTTTGACGAGTTGTTGTATGGTGCTAAGAATGGCGCTACTCACTGACGATGCCGACTACGATGCCAGCGAAACGTTTGGGAATGTACCGCGTCCACGGTTCAACTTTGGAAATGATCATGCAGACAATGGACTCTGGACTCGGTGCGTTCCTCTAAGTCTTCCTATCAATATGACCATGTTGCGAAAACAAGGTCAAACAACCTCTATACA